GTGTGTGTGTGTGTGTGTGTGTGTGTGTGTGTGTGTGTGTGTGTGTGTGTGTGTGTGTGTGTGTGTGAAGACTGACAGAAAAAAAAAATCAGTTGTCTCTGAGCGAGTGCTGCCAAGCAACGTCGGTAAATTTGTTTTTCCCAGTTCGGTCCTCTTGTCTTCCGATTGGCTCCCTACTCTGAGGCTGAGCCCACCCCCTCTCCCCTCGTTTTAGGCCGAGGGGTCGCCAGTCAAGGTGACCGACGAGGTGAGTGGGGTTTAGTGGGGGGGACTAAATGAAGGGGTCAGTCGAGGCTCTTCTCCGGAGAGGTCAATGGTAACGCAGCGACGCCCTCACGCCGGCCTCGGTTACAGCGGAGCCTCCTCCTCCATAGGCTCCTCCTCCTCTGACCTGCTGGCAGAATCAAACACAGACASTCCACCTTTAGTCCAACAACATCATTCAGAAGGAGATGTACAGTGGTGGGCACAGCTAACCGAAACATTAGCTCCACTAACCACTAAACTGCTAAACAGATAAATTAAATGAGTGGATGCTAACGCTAACCGCTAAAACAACGTCTTTATCTCCTTCCAGCTGAAGACTGGTGGGACTGACATAAACCTGGTATTTGTTAGCTCTGCCAACAGCGAGGTAATGTTTTCGGTCGTGTCTGTCGTTCAGTCTGTGGACGACATTACTCAAAAACTTGTGGACGGATTTTCATGACATTTTTACCACACGTGGGTACTGGCCCAAGTAACACCATTAAATTTTGGTGATGTTCCGGATCACGATGCGGATACAGGAATTTTTTTTTTTTTAACTCTCTGAGATTGGCAAAGCTGTGATGCTTTCACAGGGCTTCTGTAAAAAACAGTGAGAGCTTTCAGTGTTCATTTGAACTGGATTGGACAGCACGGACTTCAAACGTTGTTTTTTTTATTTACTTCCAAATAAAACCAGATTTAATGATGGACATTTAATGATGATTGGGTGCTGCCAATAAAATTTTAACCAAGTAACTGTCTTTATTCAGATATTTACTTTCTGATAAATAACCCAAATGTGACAGTACCTGTTTTGGGTAGCTTATATCCTAGTATTTCTCTCAACTGTTTAAAAACATCTTCCCAATAACATTTTAGCTTTATCCATGGCCAACAGACATGTGAATGATCTACATCTACATCTAGCTCTCAAACATGGTTGCTGCACTGACAACGACCCTCGCTTTATCTTAGGTGTAATAAAATGTCTGATATTTTTACAACAGAAAATTCTCCACACTCTGGAGTTAGTTGTGTTCTGTTGGGTTTCACAAATATCGAACCACACGTCATCAGTTGTTTCCTCCTCTAGTTCTTTTGCTCACTTTTTCTTTACATAAAGGGTTGAAGTTTTCCCATTAACCATCAATCCTTGATGTAACTTTGATATAAACCTGCCCGTTTTGTTCTTACATGCATTTCCAAATATTTCTGTGATTTTGTTTATTTCCTCTAGAGGCCTGACCTTATTTCCTTTTGATAGTAGTCTTTACATAGCAGGCTATTTTAAAGCAGGCTGCATGTTTTGGTGTAAAGGTTTATTCCAAAGCGGTGTGACAGGACAAAACGTTTGAACAGGTAGGTGCTCGGACGTTTAATACCTTTAATAAGTAAGTAAAACTGAATCCTTCACCTTTGATCCATGGCATTGGAGTTGGCCACGGACAAAGACGCCATGGCGCTGACGGCCTCAGCCTCCTCAGAGTCTCCTCGTTTGGCCTCCAGCAGCGAGAGCCCCAGTCGAGACGAGTAGCGATGTACCGAGCGCCAGTACTTACCTGAAAACCAGGACAGGAAGGAGGCAGAGCATGAAAACCAATGTGTGGGACGTTAAACACATAATCAAACCCTTTTAGGTTTTGTAAATCCCTGCAATCAGACTGTTAGTTTATTACTGGCTATCTGACATCTGGGAACAGCCTTCTGCTTGTGTGTTTTATCTGTTTTAGGCTTTAACAAACATCTGCGTCCTGTTTCTGTGTGTGAGTCTGTGTCTTTCTGAGGGTGAACTCACTGTGAGTCTCTATAACTTTCTCCAGAGAGCGGACAGCGTTGGGGTTGGGCCTCTGCTCTAGGACAGCCTTCGGAAGAGGATCCAGCTGCATGGAAAAAAACAAAAAYAAAAAACAAAAGCATGTGTCAGGTTTCAATGAAAACAAACAATCCACATGAGGTCTGACTGGGAAAAAAGACACAGTCCTGTTCTCGAATGACCCTGTCCTTTAAGCTMAAAATGGTCCATAATGACACCTAAATCCAGATTTAACTTCATTGAATTATTAATTCATCGCTGACTCTGTGGATGGGAAATTWGGAGATTAAATGACTTCTAAAGTGTTGATAAAATTCCCAGGTGATTCTGTTACATTGGAAACAGATCATTTAAACCAGAGGTTCTCAAACTGGAATTCCAGGACCCCCAGGGGTCCACAAGCTGTGTGTTGGGGGTATTCAAAAAATTTCAATAAATTGGTAATTTGGTTTTTATTTTATGCCGCTTCGCCCGCCGGTACCCATCAGCTGCTTCTGGAATCCCGTAGGCCAGGTGGTCGCTGAGGCAAAAACCCGGGCATGGGAGGAGTTTGGAGAGGCCATGGAGAAAGACTTCCGCACGGCTTCGAGGCGATTCTGGTCCACCATCTGGCGTCTCAGGAGGGGGAAGCAGTGCTGCACCAACACTGTTTATAGTGGGGATGGTGTGCTGCTGACCTCAACTTGGGACGTTGTGTGCCGGTGGGTGGAATACTTTGAAGACCTCCTCAATCCCACCAACATGCCTTCTGTTGAGGAAGCTGAGCCTGGGGACTTTGGGTTGGGCTCTCCGATCTCTGGGGACGAGATCGCCGAGGTGGTTAAAAAGCTCCTCAGTGTCAGGGCCCCGGGGG